GGCAGAGTAAACAGCATGAAGTGAAGGCCCCCAGGTGGCAAGGAGACCGGGTATCTGAGGAACAAAGGAGATGAAGGGCAGACAGTAAGAGGAAGGAGTGAAACTTGGCTGGTGAGGGAGACCGGGACAAGGAGAGCGAGTGTTTGCAGCTGGGGGAGAGGGTTCTGGCCCTTCCCTGAATGCACCTTCCCTCACCTGAAGCCCTGAGGAAGAGGAGTATTTTCAGTCTTTACAGAGAAAACATTTTTTTTATCTTTAGAGTAGTAGTTTTTTAAATGAAGGCCTTATTGGCACTCTGGAGGTGATCATTCTTTTTCCAGGGCTGCTCTGTACCTAGCTCCCACCCTGTCTCCAGGTACTAAATGCCAGGAGCATCTTCCCAGTCAGGCGGCGCGGTGATAACCTAGTACACCCCACAGTTTCTGAAACCCTCAGCAGTGACCCCTGCCTCCTACTGAGAACCATGGCCCTCGTTGGGGCTGCAGTGGTGTCCCTGCCACCAACTTCACGACTGGGCTTTAGCCCAATCTACCAACAGCCAAACTCTTCTTTTGATGGATGTCCTTCCCTACAGATACCCCAATGGTGCAGGTTTGTGTCTATGACATACTAGGAACATTTCTCATTCTATCATATAACTGTTGAGTCTCCGCTCTGTGCCAAGACTGGGAGTACAGATAGGCGAGTGACAGAGACAGAAGTGAGACGATTCGTTATAACATGGTGGGGAAAGTGCAACCGAGGATGCTTATCTAGGAATTGGAGGTGGTGGAGGAGGTGATGGCCTCTCCTGGCCGAGGAGGCAGAGAGGACAGCAGCACATTTTATGGAGGCAGCAAACACAGGTGAGCTTGGACAGCTATAAATAGCTTGGCATTGTTGAAGCATGAATTTCAAGTCCAGGTGTGGCAGGAAGACAGGTTGGAGAGGTAGGCGGCCCACACAGTTCACAAAGGGCCCCGTATGCCAAGCTAAGTCTCTTGGATAATATGCAAAATAAACTCCCAAATGTGTTCTACTTGCAAATCTTCAGTCATCCTGAAATGGTAACATCTGGATGAGGTGTATAAGAATTTTCTGAAGAGGGCGCCTCTGTGTGGCTCAGCCATTAAGCATCTGCCTTTGGCTCAGGTCATGATCCCAGGGTCCTGGGATCGAGCCCCGCATCGCGCTCCCTGCTCCAAGGGGAGCCTGCTTCTTCCTCTCCCACTCCCCCTGCTTGTGTTCCCTCTCTCGCTGTGTCTCTCTCTGTCAAATAAATAAATAAAATCTAAAAAAAAAAAAAAAGAATTTTCTGAAGTGCTATACAGATCAGGTTACTGCAGTGGGGCCAAAGTTTGTCTCTGGGTCTTTAATGTCAATTATGAAGTTCTTGTGTGCCTTGGAGGATTTTGAAGATTCTTTTCATGTATGCTTTTTAACAGCTTTATTGAGCTGCAACTGACATAATAAAGTACACAATTTGCCAAGTTTGACATTTGTATGACATATTTATACTTCTGTGAAATGAGCACCACAATCAATGTATCCGTCAATTGGAGAGGGAGGTGGGGGGATGGGCTAGATGGGTGATGGGGATTCAGGAGGGCCCTTGCTGTGATGAGCACTGGGTGTTCTATGTAGGTGGTGAATGAGCTGACTCCTACTCCTGACACCAATATTGCACTGTGTTAACTAATTATAATTTAAGTAAAACTGAAAAAATAAATCAAAAAAGATATATATATATATATAAATATCCATCAATACTAAAAACGTTCTTATGCCCCTTGGTAATCCTTCCCCTCAACCTGCACCCCAACCCCAGGCAATGAGTGATTTGCTTTCTGTCACTATATATTACTTTGCATTTTGTAGAATTTTATATAGATGTGTACTCTTCTTTGGCTTATTTCAAATGGAGTAATTATTTTGAGATGCCTCCAGGTGGTTGCATGCATAAATAGCTATTGTTTATGGTTTTTCAATTTATTTTTTTAAAAATAAATTTTATTTATTTACTTATCTGAGAGAGAGAACGCACTCACGAGTGAGTGGGCAGGGGAAGGGCAGAGGGGGAGGGAGAGAGACAAGTAGACTCTGCACCAAGCATAAGCCCCACAGGGGGCTTGATCTCACAACCTTGAGACCAGGACTCTGAAACCAAGAGCTGGTCGCCTAACCGACTGAGCCGCCCAGGTGTCCCAATCATCCACCGTTTTTCTTTTTTTAAACCTTCCACTTTGAGGTATGTCTTCCTATGGTATTTACTATATCTCAACAAGTTTGCTGCATGAGATGACAAGCTCCATTTTAGGAGGGGCTTTGGGGGTAACAGGCACAAGAGATACTAGCTGGGGAAGAAATGATGAGGCATAGGTCCTGGTTTTCTAAGAATTCTCCAAAATATAAAATAGAGTACTGTGATAAACAAAATAATGGCTCCCAAAGATGCCTACATCTTAATCCCTGGAACCTGTGACTATCGCTTTACAGGTCAGAAGAGACTTTGCAGATGTGATTAAGTTAGGGATTTTGAGGGGAGGAGGTTATCCTGAATTATCTGGGTGGACCCATTTTTGTAATCACAGGGGTCCTGTGAAGTGGAAGAGGGAGGTATAAGGGTCAGAGTCAAAAAGAGATTTGAAGATGGCAGGACGCCTGGGTGGCTCAGTCGGTTAAGCGTCTGCCTTCGGCTCAGGTCATGATCCTGGAGTCCCGGGATCGAGTCCCACATCAGCAGGGAGCCTGCTTCTCCCTCTGCCTGCCACTCCCCCTGCTTGTGCGCGCGCTCACGTGTTCTCTCTGATAAATAAATAAAATCTTTAAGAAAGAGAGAGAGATTTGAAGACGTTACGATGTTGGCTTTGAAAATGGAGGAAGGCCTACCGGGCCAAGGAATGCAGATCACCTTTTGAAACTGGAAAAAGCGAGGGAATGGATTCTCCCCTAGAGCCTCCAGAAGGAACGCAGGCTGCTGACACCTTGATTTCAGCCCACTGAGACCCATTTTTGGACTTCTGATCTCCAGAACTGAAAGATAATAAATTAGTGTTGTTTTAAGCCACTAAGTTTGGGATAATTGGCTACAGCAGGAATAGAAAATTAATAACCAATCCTGTTAAAAAAAAAAAAAAGCCCTGTTGCTTCTGACCGCTTCTATTTCTTCTTCCACTTTGTGACACGTGGTCTCATAGGAGTGGAAGCAAGTTGGCCTTGGAATCAGACTGAGCTGTCCTAGCTGCTCCTCTGAGCTTGTTTCCTTAGCCTACAGCAGGGATGATAGAGTATTTATCTCGGGGGCCATGGAAAGGGCTGATGAGATGAATCAATCCCAGCACATAGTGCGCCCTCCATAAACCTTTGCTTTCTTTACTTTCCCCCTAATACTAGAATCCAAGGGACTAAATCCTCCCTGCTAGTGCTCCTCTGTGTAATTTTGACTAAATTGCTTTCTCTCTTTTAATCTGTTGAGGTTAAAGGGAATTACCTATTAAGTGTCTGAGAGTGTTTAGAGTTTGTAATGTGGCTGGATACTCTTGGTTAAAAAGTGTTATTTAGATGCAAAGCCCTGTTATCTTTTGAGCTGGTAATTATTTCCTGGCCTAAATTGTTTAGCAGTGTCCTGAGTTTCCATTTCTGAGATGATGATATTGCTTGAGTGGTGAAGAAATACCTCATCTGGATATTGTGTGCCTTAATTAATGTTTATGAAGCCTACACAAGCCCATCATAATAGGCTGAATGCTAAGCATTATTTTCCTTTTGTATGGCTGTCACTTCTAGGATCTTAATATAGCAAGCAAAATTGTCCAATAAAAATTGGCATTTCAGCATTGGATTAGGTAATATTTACATCATAGTCATGTTGGGGGGAGTCTCTGGGCTTTTTATAAAGAAAGGGGTTAAGGAAGTAGTGCTATTATTTTTCTACAAGGACATAATTATTATTCTGGCCCCCCTTGTCTCTGGGGGTTGCCAAACTTAAGCAAGAAAGTTTAGGGAAAGGACAAGGCTTTTTTTTTTTTATAAAGCTTCTTTAAATCAATGTTCTTTAAAATTTGTGATTAGAATTATTTTTAGAAAATCAGTTGGCAAGGGTTTTCTAACTGTTTCCAAAGCACAGCAAAGGTCTGTGCTTTACAGCACAAATTAGACCACCCAAGATGACTGCGTGGCTATGTCAACGGGAAAACTGGATAAAGAGACAGCACTGACCCCCGAAGTGGGGAGGACACCAAGCAAGGGCTGCTGGTAAAACACAGGGAGGAAGCTTCTCCAAATACTAGCTCACTCACAGTTTCAAAAGCTTTTTGCTCGGAATTTTCAAATAGTTTCAGGGTAACAGGCAGTCATCAGATTTGTAACAGGCAGTCATCAGATTCATGCACACTTACCAAAGGTCTACATCTCCAAGACGGGCTGTAAATAATATACCCATATGGGTCTCGAGGGAACACTGGGTTGATTTGTTGTTCCAACACAGTGTCTCCCTTCTGCCACTCAATGACAGGAAAAAAACCAGACGGCCATGCTGGAAGGTATATGGTTACAGCCATAGACACTGCTTTTGTGGGCACCCACAGTTCTGAGATAAAGTTAGCTGATCACATTACAGCACGTAATCAAATGCAGTCATTGCTGAGGGAACCTGTATCACATTACCTTTGAAAATACTTGAATCCAGAAACACCATACACTGGATACAAAATTCATGAACACCTAGCCTCTGGGCGTGGCCTAGGACATATTATTCTGAACCATCTCCCTATTTGCTTTCATGGGTAAATAGACATCTGGAGCTAGAAATGGGGAGAATTTGAAAAATAAAAGAGTCAAACTAAGTATTTTGGAATGCTCTTAAGAGACCACCCCCCCCCACACACACACAACAAGTTTAGATCACATCAGAAGTTCCTTAGGTAATCTTCAAAGTTAATTTCTTGCAATTGAAGGAACACAGAAGAAGCAGGCACACCATGATTTGGGTGCTCAGTTTTTGTTCTATTTAATTGCAGCCAACTTCCTACTATTGAAAAAAAGAAGATGATTTATAATTAAAAGATTGCTCATCTGTATCGAAAAATTCATGGGTTCACTCTATGATGTCCAGAGACCCCCAAGATGGTGGTGAGTTTCTACTGCTACTGCTATTGTTTTACCTCTTTGTGTTGACTGTGGCATGTGTTGGTTGAAGACTTAAAGCAGCATATTGCTCTAGGCAGTACAGTATATTGTTGCAGGGGCGCCTGGCTGGCTCATTCAGTAGAGCATGCGACTCTTCATCTCAGCGTTGTGAGTTTGAGCCCCACGTTGGGTGTAGAGATTACTTAAAAATAAAAAATAAAGATTTTATTTCTTTATTTATTTGAGAGAGAGAGAGTGAGCGAGAGCAGGGGGAGGGGCAGAAGGGGAGGGGGAGAGAGAGCTCCAAGCAGACTCTGAGCTGAGCCCAATGTGGGGCTCGATCTCACAACCTTGAGATCATGACCTGAGCCAAAACCAAGAGTCAGACGCTTAACCAACTAAGCCACCCAGGTGCCCCCCAAATAAAAGAATCTTTTTAAAAAAAGATTTTATTTGTTTATTTGAGAGAGAGAGAGAGAGAGAGAGAGCACAAGTGGGGGGGGGAGGGCAGAGGGAGAGGGAGAAGCAGACTCCCTGCTGAGCAGGGAGCCTGACTTGGGACTCCATCCCAGGACCCTGATATCATGACCTGAGCCAAAGGCAGATGCTTAACCAGCTGAGCCACCCAGGCACTGCAATAAAAAAATCTTAAAAAAAAAAAATCATTGAATCATGAACTTAAAGCTCCTAACTGTAATCTATTCACATTCTTCCTGACACACATATAAAGGAGGAAGAAGAATTTGGATCCAACAGTCAACTATTTTTATTATACTTCATAGGGTTGATCTTAGAAGAGTGGCGTTCAAGACCTGAGTGTTAAGTGGTTCACACTTTAGTGGAGGGCATCTTGCAAGGGTGGGTAGAAACAATGTCTGCTTTCTCCTCTGCCTCTCGGGTCCTAGCCTGTCTGGAGGCTAGCAAAGGTCTCAACACAGAACGGAGGGTATTAGGGATTAGGTTAAGTGACTTGTCACAGGCACACGGTCCCACAGTTTTCCTTTAAAGATGGAAATAATCCTCCAGTATAGAACATGATATATAACATTGTATTATCACTAAATGGGCTTAGTGAATAGAACAAACATCCCCTACCACCCAGAAACAATGATTTGCTGGCCATGTTTGACCTCTAACCACGAACGAGTTTTGGTTTTCCCTTCTTTTTTTTTTTTTTTTAAAGATTTTATTTATTTATTTGAGAGAGATAGAATGAGAGTTAGAGAGCACAAGAGGGAAGAGGGTCAGAGGGAGAAGCAGACTCCCCGCCAAGCAGGGAGCCCGATGTGGGACTCGATCCCGGGACTCCAGGATCATGACCTGAGCCGAAAGCAGTCGCTTAACCCACTGAGCCACCCAGGCGCCCTTGGTTTTCCCTTCTATAGACATTCTTAACTGATTCCATCAGATCCCTAGTCATCCCAACCATGGTTACCTTCTCTTAAACTGGACAAATTAGTGAGCATAAGTCAGCACTTCAACACCAAATTCAGACTTTATAAAAAAGTAAACCACACAAGGGATAGATATCAACATGGTGAGCACCTGTTGCTCAAGGCCCAGACTGAAGTGTTTTCACAGGGCTGGGTCGCTGGGATGTGCTAGCCTCACTTGCTCAGCGTTCAGGGTGATTTGTGAGCTATTGCTGAGCACATAATGGTCAGTATAGCTACATAATCGGTCAGGGCTCTAAATGTGTTCACCTGAACTCAGCAAATCAAATTGGGTTTACAGAAAGGTTCTGTTGGGTTCTGACCAGAATCTCTTTGGATTCGCCATTGGATTCTGAGATTGAGCTGGGTTTTGACATGAGAAGATGTTCCGGTTCCTTCCAGCTACCTGTAAGAGGCCCTATAATTATAATGCTAAGGATGTAGATTGTCCTTTAACAGACAAAATCCTTTTGATATTTTGCACACACACACACACACACACACACACACACACACAAATAACAATAACAATAATAATATGAGAAGCTATTTTCCCAGGTCTAATGAGAGAGTTCCTCAGCCTTCTGGCTTATCTTGATAGTCTCTCTCTTTTTCTTTTTCTTAGCAAAAACTAAATTTTTATCAGTTTAAGTGGGATGATATTTGAGAAACTAGGATCCGGCTAACAAAGGGTATTTTCTTAGCAAAAAGGGCTTAGAGGTCAGCAAAGTGTATCCCAAGATACAAAGAAGGCATGAGTATGAGTTTGGGGCTGTAGCTTGGGTCACTAAAAGTCCTGCAAAACTAGAATTCATCTTTCTTTTCTCCTTTCTCTGTAGGCACTTAAAGATACTCTTTTTTTCCCCTCAGAAATCAGACTTTTCCATTGAAGTATATTTGGCACATACTATTGTGTAATTTTAAAGTGTACACATGTCAATTTGATACATTTATATATTGTAATATGACCACCATTGCAGTGATAATTAGTACCTCTATCATATTACATAATTATTATTTCTTTCTAGTGGTTGGAATAATTAAGTTTAGCAAGTTTTACGATTATAACGCCATATTGTCTATATTCACTATGCTGTCCATTAGGGCTCTAGCACTTATTTACTATTCACTGAAAATTTGTACCCTTAAAAAACATCTGTCCTATCCGTCCACCACCCATCCCCTAGTAACCACCATTTTACTCTCTGTATTTAGGAGTTTGGCTCTTTTAGATCCTACATCGAAGTGGTATTATTCAGTATTTGCTTCTCTGATTGACTTATTTCATTTAGTATAATGTGCTCACGGTCCATTCACGTTGTTGTAAATGGAAGGGTATCTTTCTTCCTCATGTTCTTTATCCACTCATTCACTGACGGGCGCTTAGGTTGTTTCCATAGCTCGGCTATAGTGAATAATGCTGCAATAAACATGGAAGTGCCTATATCTCTTTGGTATCCTGTTTTCACTTTCTTTATGTGTATGCCCAGAAGCAGAATTGCTGGATAATATGGTAGATCCATTTTAAATTTTTCTGAAGAATCTCCATATTGTTTTCCACAGTGGCTGAACCGATTTACATTCCCACCAACGGTGTTATAAGGGTTCTCTTTTCTTCACATCCTCGCCAACGTTTGTTGTTGTCTTCTTGATGATAGCCATTCTAACAGGTGTTAGATAGATATCTCATTGTGATTTTTCTTTGCATTTCCCTGTTGATGAGTGATGTTGAATATCTTTTCATGTACCTGTTGGCCATTTGGATGTCTTGGACACATTCTATTTAAATTTATTTAGTGATAGTTTTCACCATCAAACAACATATTTGTTTACAGGTAGATTTTTAAAATAGTTTAAATAGATTTTTAATAGATTTTTAAAATAGTTTAAAATAGTTTTCTCTTACAGAAATCATGTCTCAGATATGCTATTTCTTCCTTTAACTTTTAGATATGCCCACAAATAGAGTACCTAGCCTTCCATATCTGGGCACTCTTCAGCATTCCAGCACTGAGATTGTTTTTGTTTTTCATTTTTATTTTTTATTTATTTAATTAATTAATTAATTAATTAATTAATTTATTTGAGAGAGAGAGAATGAGAGATAGAGAGCACGAGAGGGAAGAGTGTCAGAGGGAGAAGCAGACTCCCTGCCGAGCAGGGAGCCCGATGTGGGACTCGATCCCGGGACTCCAGGATCATGACCTGAGCCGAAGGCAGTCACTTAACTGACTGAGCCACCCAGGCACCCTGTTTTTCATTTTTAAACTACCATCTATTGAATGCTCACTCTGTGCCAAACACCATGCCAAGAGCTTTACCTGCATGATCTCATGTTCTTCTAGCAATCCCGTGAACTAAGTATTATTCTGATTTTTCAGAAGAGGAAACTAAGACTCAGAAAAATTAAGTAACTTGCCCGATGGCATATAGCTAATGAGTAGAGAAGTTGGAATTCACATCTACATCTCTCAACTCTTGCTTTCCCACTGTGCCTTTGACTTTCCTGGGAAGCATTTTCCCTTGTTCTTCAATTTGGGTTGGAGTAGCCTATGATTCTGTTCATGAAGATATACCTCACTTTACAGTAAATATTAGGCATTAAATGATTTAAAGTAATCCTGCCGTGTTTCTTCTTCTCCTTCGCCCATCCTGCTACTCTCCCTATTCCTTCCTCCCCCTCTTCTTCCCTTCTTCCCCCCCTCCATTCCCCCTCCCCACCCCGCTTTAAACAAAATATCTTTTTGATTTGAGTTCTCTAACATTGACACATATCTACAAATTAAGATTTTTGAACAATGTTCTGTGAAGGTCTTTACCACATTAAGTTTGTACTCCTTTTTCTTAGCTCATTTTTTTGGTCAGACATATTATTTTAGATTTTCAGGTTATCTAATAAACCACAAGTCCACAGACTCATAAAAATTTAGAGGGGGAGACAGCTTCAGAGACCCGCTCATCCAACCCTGTCACTGTACGGGCAGGGGAGGCAGCGGGCGGCCGCAGGCCCCCTGGTTGAGGCAGAGTCTCAGTTCTTCCACCTACCACTGGAGGAAATCTTACTGCTCCTAAGGAGTTGTTCCAAAAGTTCACAAATCAGGAGGAGATATCTAAATGGATGTTTTCAATTTTGTTTAAAAGAAAGAAAGACTAATACCAAGCGGCAGATGGTTTTGCTCTGACCATTTTCAGGAGTATCCCTAAGATACACTGCTACCACCAGGCTGCGGCAACCAGTCAGGGCGGCTCAGAGCAAGGTGACCTCTCCGACTGGCTTCTGCTCAGGTTTTAATCAGAAGAGGGATGCTTGGCGGCAGACTGGCCTCTGGGTGTTCAAAAGGACTTTTTGTTCCTTGGTCATATTTCTATTAGTCCTTCTCTGCCTTTCTTTAACATACAAGAGAACATCAGGAGAAGGGGACCAGAATATCTGGAGGGACAGAAGAAAAAGCCCCAGAACAGAGAAGCCTGGTGGTTATGTTTGAGCTGAGCCAGCTTTCAGTAACACACAGCATGGAGGCCTGTCAGTGATGTGTGGACAAGTGACAGCCCTGGCATTTTAACGTAGCAATCCTTCACTTGCATCCTAAGCTCCTATTTTGGGAGAATAAATTCCAAATAGCATTTCCAAGGAGAGATTGATAAATATTTGGTCATTAACTAGAGACCAAATTCTCCCTCAAAATTTAATGAACAAGAAAATGTAAAACCTCCTCCCAACTTTTTTTTTTTCTTTATTCCTTGCTTATATACCACTTGGCTGAGTGTTCTGCCTTATGTTTGTTAAATGAAAAGCATCCGTTTTGTTCTGGCATAAACAGCAATATAAGCATAGTTTCATACATTATTCCAATGTATTTAACAATGAGGTTCTTCTCATTTTTCACAGAATAGGACACACAATGAAGACAATCAATGAAAGCCAGAAGATCTACTGTTAATAATTAAGAACATCAAGAATAGGCAGCAAGGGACCAAGGAAGTCAGGCTGCGCATACATGGACAAAGGCAATTTCTTAGAAGACACAACTTCTAAGCAACAGAAAGATTTGCCTTATGATGGGGATATCTCCCAAATTAAGATATACAACGATTACAATTTTACCTCAAAAAATGACATCCTTGATGTCTCAAATCAAATTCCTTTAACAATAGATGACCTTCAAGGAAAGGCTACATATAAAGAGACTTGCAGAAATGCAGACATGGCCATGACTCTGGGTAAAATGACTAAAACTGTTATCAACAAAAACTATGATAAAGAGAAACAATCCACTGTAAATCTTGATATTCTGGCTAATGAAAGAGACCCTTCCAAGTCAAGCATTTCTGATAATTTACTCCATCATCCTTCCAGTGGGGAATTCTTAAAAGGTCAAGGCATTAATTGTGAAACTTTCCCAGAGATTTCTAATGCTGACAGTTCTGATGAAGCTATCGTTAAAAATATTATTTTGCGCTATGTTAAGAATTCTTGGTCAAAAGAACAAACCCCAGAACTCACAGACCAACTGAGCCCCAAAAGGGGTGGTGAAAACAGCAATATGCCCTGTTGTTCTCTAACTGTGACAGAAGGAAACGCCTCTGACCTAGAGGCTGCTGGAGAGAGCAGCCATCAAGAAACTTCACATTTTCTAACTAAAATCAAGAGTCCGCATGATAAACCAAAAAGTTGCCAAGGGCAGCCACCCCAGAAACTGCAGACTGAAAAAGCAGTTTCAGGCACTGAGTTCAAACATGGCCGTAGTCTGTTTCCTTACGAGTTATCTGATTTCCCTAAGGTTGCTCCCAAAGGGAAAATCCCTAAAAATAAAACAATTAATAAACCACTTACAACAGATAAACAAGCCAGCTTTTCTCCTAAATTGAGAGAGAAGTCAGCTATTGTGCAAGATATTTTAGAAAGCATGTCTAGGTCAAACTGTATTGAAAGACACGGACAGAAAAGGAAAACTGCTGAACCTTCACAACAGATAGAGGTAAGTGAAAGTGGTCTCCAGGAAATGCATGATCGGGGCCACTTCTCATCCATATCAGGTCCATATCAGGTCCATATCAGGTCCGTATCAGGTCCGTATCAGGTCCGTATCAGGTCCGTATTAGGTCAGTTCCATGCACCTTGAAAAGACCCGGGTCTTTTCAAGGTGCATGGAACTGACCTAATCTTTGACCTCTCAGAAGCTCAGTGGGTGTCTTCCTGAGAAGAATCAGGGGCTGGACAAACAACACATCATAGAATAAACTCCAAATTCTTTGACCTGGAATTTGAGTTTCCCCGTTTTTTTTTTTTTTTTTGGCTCCATCCTACCCTTATAAACTTAGCTCTCGTTCCCCAGGAGTCATCCTCAGTGAAGTGGCTGGTCCCCAAGCTCTCTGGGCCCGCACGCTTGGAGCTCCTGCCTCACATGGGACATCCCACCTCTGCTTGTCAAAGACGTGCGCATTTTCATGGCCCCCTTCAATCCCCCGCTGGCTGGGGGACTTTCTGACCCTCACTCCCACCCCCAGTCAGTCCTTCACATCCTCTGTTGTTTAGGTTTCTGTCAGAGCATTTATTTATGTCAGGCTGCTTTGGATCATGATAATGTGGAAATATCTGTTTCTTCCACTAGACTTGAGTACTCTGGAGGGCAGCAACTTTGTCTTCATCTTTCTATTGCCTAATTCCCCAGGGACCTGGCCTTCTGTCTTCCATATATTACATCCTTAGTTATTAAGGCTAAATCAAATCAAATTTAGGTCTTTAATAACATTCCAAGCTTCCTATATTGGCAACTATTTAGTAGCAGTTTTTTTAATGCTTACATTGGGATTTTCTCTATTTTTTTAAGTAATCTCTACACCCAACATGGGGCTCAAACCCACGACCCCAAGATCAAGAGTCGCATGCTCTACCAACTGAGCCAGCCAGATGCCCCTGAAGACCAAATTTTCTTAATGTTTCATTTATACTATTTCCCCTTTCCTCGTCTTCCCATCCCCCCTTCCAACTTCCCAACACATTGAGGCTTGGGACCTCATTGATTACTTGAGGTTCAGTAGTTAGGTAAATTCGCATTAATGATCAAAGTAAACATTTTAGTTCTCTGGCACTTTGCCCGCACAGTATGATCTTTCCTTTAAGCTGTGTACGAAGGGCACTCTGAACTGAAAAACACTCTCCGCCTGTTTCCATTTCTACCCCTTCATGCTCAGTCCTCTCTTTCAGCCGAGCGCTCTGGGGAGCCTGTGCAGAACACCCACCCACACCCACCCGCCACACACCTGAAGCCAGCAGCCCACCTGGCCTCGACTGGTGTGCTTCTCTGTGTCTGACCCTGGCAAGTCTCAAGGGTTCTCATTCGGCTTGCAGGAAAACACCCCTGGGGATGCCCAGTCCTTGGGCCTGGAGGTGAATAGGAACAGATTGGATATTAGGCTCACCTCTCTCTGTGGCAGCCTAAAGTCAAGTGTCTGATTTTCTCTAGTCCTGTCGATTAAGGCTGGAGAATAGGCTACCCATCATATCGTCATAACCAAAATCTAGTTTGACCACCACCGTTGAGCGCTCAGGCACGAGCATGTTTCTGAGCTTTCTGTGTGGAGAACAGTGGGAAGACCTCAAGGTGAGTCACTCTGGAATTTAAGCTCCCGTCCTGTTAGTCTGTGGTGAGTAAACAATCACTATCTTGACTCACATTTTGGAGCTTAATGCCTCTGGTTTTATATTATTCTCTAGAGTGTGGCTACTGTGCGCACAGTGTTAGTGAGAACACCAGCCACAGGGCTGGTGAGAAGACCAACAATGGTCCCTGCCCTCATGGAGCTTATGGTCCACTTTTGGGAGAAATGTTTCAGTAGTCCCTGTAATACTATCGAACATGGTAGTAGTAACAGCTGATGTGTCATGAATGCTTTAACCACGTGCCAGATCTTATGGTAATACCTAACATTTCATCCTCATAACAACCCTAGGGGGTAGGTTCTATTTCTATCCTCATCTTATTGCTGAGGAATTTGAGGTTCACAGTGATGAAGTAATTGTCTTGAGTCACCCAGCAGATAAGTGTCAGAATGGAATTCAACCTTGGCATCAGGGACCCAGCTCTTGACACAACTCTGGGCAGCCTCCATGATGACCACACATTTTGGATCTTTTTGAATAATGGAGTCAACAATAAATAGTGTTTTCTTACGCTTTAATTGTACAGATGGAGCCCACAATACATATTCACCAAGAACATCTCACAGGTACTAATATTTGATTTGATTTGATTTTTTTATTTTTTTAGAGGGAGAGAGAGAGAGAGAGAGAGAGAGAGAGAGAGAGAGGAGATGGGAGGAGGGGCAGAGGGAGAGGGAGAGGGAGAGAGAAAATCTTAAGCAGGCTCCACGCCCAGCATGGAGCCTGATGTGGGGCTTGATTTCACGACTCTGAGATCATGACCTGAGCCGAAATCAAGAGTCAGACACTTAACTGACTGAGACACCCAGGCGTCCCAGGTACTAATATTTTTAAACCTTTTTTGATTTAGATATACATTCTGAAAACTTTTTTTAAATAGCAAATGGTGGTGGTTGCCACAGACTTCTGTTTTTAGGACTTAATAAATCTGCAGTAAAGTTGAGATGAATGGAAGCCAAAACTTATTCTTTCTTATACAGGAAGAGAATCAGAGATGAGTCTCTTTAAGGTGTCATCAATGTCTCAGAAAGACATTTTCCCAAGTTCTTCTTCCATATTTCAGAAGATAACCCAAGGGAAACAGATGTGCCAGAAGTTAAAAGAAGAGACTGATCAACTGAAGACTAAAGTAATGTTTTTAAAGCTTATTATTGAATAGATGTGACCAAATTCAGACATAAGACATCATGCCATTAATGAAATATTGCATTTTTTCACTGCAGGTACAAGAATTTTCCAAAAGCATAGCACAGGACTCTCCCTATCATTTGCAAGATAAGAGGCTGGTAATAAATTTTATCCAGTTTTAAACATCTCTGTTAGGGAATTTGACTTGGGTAAATACAAATGACTTTATAGCACCATGTTTTCCCTGCATTGGTGGGAGTGGAAATGTTCTGGTGGAAATACTTTGCTGAAGATTAAGGGCAGTGACCTCCAGAGGCCTGGCCTTGTGTCTTACATATATTATGCTCCTAATTATTAATGATGAGTTGAATTGAATTAAGATCTTTTTTTTTTTAAAGATTTTTTCATTTATTTGAGAGAGAGAGAGAGAGAGCACATGAGAGGGGGGAGGGTCAGAGGGAGAAGCAGACTCCCCGCTGAGCAGGGAGCCCGATGCGGGACTCGATCCTGGGAGTCCAGGAACATGACCCGAGCCGAAGGCAGTCGCTTAACCAACTGAGCCACCCAGGCGCCCCTTTAATAACATATTTCAAGATTGATATATTTGGTAACTAGTATGAAATGTTGTTAGTGTTTAATTTACACTATTTCCACTTTCCCCATCTTCCCATCCCCCCCACCCAGCCTCCCAACATGCTGAGGCTGAGGATCTCTTTGGTTATTTGAGGCTCAGGCGCTTTGTGTTACAGGGGCTAAAAGAGCTTAAAATTCTATTTCTACATGTATTTAGCCCTCTCTCATTCTCAGGGGAATCTATTACCTATGGCTATTATTTCTTAGCAGTCACCCCACAATAAATCTGAGACCATGGTAGGCTTAAGAGAATAACATGTTAGTTATAAAGGGCAAGTCCATCCAGAGTTGTTGGGTCCTGGGGGATACAGGTTATAAAATTTCCCAGTAAATTTCCCATGTTCAGGTACTGGGAAATTTTGAAACTTTGAAAACTTAAAACAGATCTTAAAGCTATGCTTTTCAGATCAAAATCTGTGACTGTCCCATCCTTGCTTGTTGTTGCATTTAATCAAATCACTAATTTATATTGTAACCACACAGCCTTGTTCATCAGAGCCAGGGTTGTGGGAAGTCGGGGTGGAGCATGGCAATGGGGCAGAAAGCTGAGATTGCTAGAGCCAGAAATGTGCAGAGTCAAAGATGCTGTTCAGACCATTAGGTCAGCAACAGGTGATCAGAAGGCAGGTGGTCAGAAGTCCCAATGTGAAGGACCACAAGCAAAGCTCAGGGCAGGCTGTGCAGCAGAAATCAGACAGCATAGGCAAAAACCAGGAGGACTCAAATGTTAAGAGACACAGGGCAACAGTGCATTATTCATTCGTTCTTCATGTTAATTAAATAACTCATTCATTCATTCATTCAACACTTACCAGGTACTTCCTATGTCCCAGATATTTTACCAGGTACTAGGGATTTGGAGATGAAGAAACAGTTTCAAGTGGTTTACAGTCTCCTGGGAACAACAGACTGATAAACAGATAAGCAACATGAAGCTCGAGAAATATTACATATAATGCTAATGGCAGCCTAGAAGAGGCTCATCCTTGCCAATTAGAGGGCACTTGGGAAGGCTCCCTGGAAGTGACTGACCTGTGACCTTGACACCGTAGGATAAATATGTATGAGATTGGCAAAGTAGGGGCAAGAGGGTGTTCCGAGAAAAGGAATCAGCAGGTACAATGGCACAGGGGGCAGAGAGTGCTGATAGTTTGAGGAACTGTATGGCACTATAATTGGCCAGATGGAGCTCAGGGTAGTGTGGTGAAAAGAAAGAGAGGAAATGAGAGAGGGGGTTAAGGACTGCATCATGAAAGACCTTTAAACCATGCTAAGGAGCTTAGGTTTTACCCTGAGGTTAAGTGATGGGGTAACATTGGAGGATTGAAAGCCAAGAAATGGCGAGCACCGTGGGGGCAAGTCTGTAGCTAGGAAGCCATACTCCAGGTAGCAAGTTATGAGGGCCTGAACCAAACCAGGCAATGGGGATTGAGAGGGGAACACGGCTGAGAGTTTAACCAAGTGGTGGCAGGTTAAGAGGATAAAGGAATAAAGGAAGGGAGGAGGCTTGGATGAGTTTCAGATTTCTAGCTTGGGCAACCAAGGTCAGGACTAAAAATGGAAGATCCAGTTCCTAGTGGGTGTGGGAGGCGAGCAGGAGGCAAGGCACCAAGTTCATTTTGAGGTCCTTATAGGACATCCAATTGGAGAGATCCAGTAGGCAATTAGACCAATGGATCTGGGCCTCAGAGGGGTTGTTTGGGCAGAACTGTAAATTTGGGCATAGCTGCGGGTTGAAGCTATGAAGTATATGAGATTGCCCAGGCAACATGCAAAGTAAGCAGTAAAGAAGTACAAGGAAAGAATCAGCAAACAGGGGCAGGCAAAGGAAGACGGAGTCAAAGGAGACTGACAAGGAGTGACCCGAAAGGTCAAGGCAGACCTACAAGGGGCAGAGCTGTTAAAGCCAAAAGAAAAGAAGGGGGCATGGCCACATCACCAGATGTTCAAATGAGGAGGAAAAAACCAAGAAGTGCATCGGACTCGGCCAACAAGAGATCATGAGGGACCTTGGCAAACCCAGTTTTAGTGAAGTGGTAGATCGGTTGAAGCTTAAGGAGTGAATGATAAAGGAGATATAAAAAAATCCAGGCTTTCAGGAACTGGGAGAACACAGATTTTTATTTTTTATTGTATTTTTTATAAGGATTTTATTTGACAGAGAGAGCATAAGCAAGGGGGTAGTGGCAGAGGGAAAGGGAGAAGCAGGCTCCCTGCTGAGCAAGCCCGACGCGGGGCTCCATCCCAGGACTCCAAGATCATGACCTGAGCTGAAGGCAGATGCCCAACTGATTGAGCCACCCAGGCGCCCCGAACACAGATTTTTAAAGGGCTGAGCAAAGCAGAGGGAACCGGTACCAAGCACTAGTGTTCTGAGGCTTCAATCCAGGAAGTTTCTCCTTGATGCTAGAGGATATGTGGGGATTTGTGCTGGGATGGAGAGGAGAGTCCAGGTGATTCCTGACAGTGTCAGCCTTGGCCTGAGAGTTCCAGGCCCATTTGGTTCAGTGCTAGAAGGCGGCCAGACAGGGCTAAAACTAACCTCAGGAAAAAAAAAAATCTAAAAAAGGGGGCGCCTGGGTGGCTCAGTTGTTAAGCGTCTGCCTTCGGCTCAGGTCATGATCCCGGGGTCCTGGGATTGAGCCCAGCATCGGGCTCCCTGCTCAGCGGAGAGCCTGCTTCTCCCTCTCCCACTCCCCCCTGCTTGTGTTCCCTCTCTCACTGTCTCTCTCTCTGTCAAATAAATAAATTTAAAAAATCAAAAATCAAAAACTAAAACTAACCTCAGCACAACAGAATGGAAAGCACTTGGATGTTGGAGCAGACATTCTAGTTCTGCATACTGGTTGTACGATCTAAGACATGAAGTGTGTCTTTCCACCCCAGAGTTGCTATGAGAATTAGAGGAAGTACACTTATGGCTAGAAAAACACACTCTATCTTCTTTGGAGATAAAATACAATTTAAATCCCAAGATCTTAAATGATAACTTGTGACTGGCTTTCTCTCTCTTCTCTTTCCTTTGAACACCTAATTCCTTTTCACAGTTTCCACTGCCGTCACCATCTACCAATTCCTAAATTACTGGTCCTAACTTCCCATCTACAGCTCCAAATGTTTGTGTGTATCTTCACTTGGCTCTCCCGCTCTCGCTGAAAATTCTACTCGTCCAACATTGACAGCTTCATTCAGATCTGTTAGTCTTTTCAAAGCCTCATTTTAAGTCAAGGGTTTCGCATTCTTTCCGCCTCCCAAGCTAGAAACCAGAGCATTATCTGTGAGATTTACAGTGTCAGTCAGGGTCCTGGCAGGACCCTGACGGTTTACTCCAGTGGAGCAACTGAGGAGAGTTTAATAAGGCCTCATTTTACAACGGTGCAGGCAAGGTTAGGGGACACCAATAAGGGACAGAGAGCATCTCATAGAAGGAACAGTGGGGCAAATGGGATGGAGGAAGAGCAGATTTTGGAGCGCAGGGAGAGTAGCTATAGCAGTAGGAGAAGCTGATGCAGGCAGGAGGACAGTAGGGAAATAAAGACCCCTAGCTCATCCTTCATTTCTCTCTTCTGCTGTTGCCTTCTACTGGCTGAAACCAATGCTGGGGCAAGGGGGCCTGTGGATGCAGTCCACTGAAGGTCAGCCTTCTGGCTGGGGCACAGAGAAAGATGGAGGATGCATCTGGGCAGGGGACATGGAAAATAGCTACCACACCTGCCATTTTGTATGCCCTAAGGCCGATATGTTTCCAAACTTGTTTATTCATTTTTAATAATCAGAAGTAATCATGATGATGATGATCCTGGCACTCAGCCTTAACTCATTTAATTTTCACAGTATGAGGTGAGGGCTATTATTATCTCAGATGAGAAAACTGAAGTTTAGAGATCAAGTTGACTAAAATCATACAATTATTAGGTGATAGAGTCTGAACTTGAACCCCAGGGTGTCTGATCCTGTAACCCCATTGTGCTATATGCAGTATCTCTCCAGTCACCGTTTCCTTTCCATGTTCATGAATACTGCCTGGCCCAGGCCCTCCTGGGCCTTCTCTAAGCCTGACTTAGCTCTCGCTTTTACCGAGCCATGGCAAAATCCTCGAATCCAGTCTCTTTTCCCAACTGGAATAAAATCCCTAAGGCCAGGGGTGGTTGTGCCTGATATAACTTTTGTATCTCTCCCGTTTGGCTCGGGGCCACACACAGGCAGTGCTCAGGGAATGTTTAGCTACTGGGGCTGCAAGGCTGAAGCGTCTATACGTCAAGACGAGACCTTAACCTTCACGGCTTAAGTATTCATCTGCATGGCGCTGCATGTGTGGACGTCTCGAAGACCGATTCGAAGCTCTGGCTAAACTTCTTGATGTCCCTTCCCCCATCTCACCCTCCAAGGGCCGTAGACTCAAGCTCAGATCCTCTAATGTCAGTTCCTTTTAAGGTCTGTGTGGCTTCAGGCATACCTCCTAGAGCTCCAATTTCCTCCTGTATACAGCTGAGATAATAAAATCTATTTTGCAACATTTACCACATTGATGTGTGGATTAAGTAAGACAATGCACGGGAAAGTGCTCTATAAGCTACAAATCATTCTGCAAAAGCACAGGATTACTGACATCCTATTAAGGAAGTTCAGAGGCCCCTAAGTGGGTTCTGGGAGAGAAATCAGGTCATTGCACTGAAAAAGCTGTGTGCTAGGAGGGTGTTGTAAACGTGGAGATGGCTCTTGGGTAGTCTGTATTTTAGACGTCACACTCTGAAACGAAACAATGGCCGGGAGAAGGATTGTGGCTTTATTTTGAAACTACCGTAGAGTACACCGCCCTTGTATTTGGGGGAAAGCAACCACAAGCAGAGGCTTACATGTGCATGATTCCGGTGACTTCACTGCTACAGGTCCTGGAGAAACTGCAGGGACATCTTGAACTGCTGGAGCAGGAGTTTCTGGACAAGAAGGAGATGCATCTGACTTTGAAGCAAGTTCACAGGCATGAGTCCCCAGCTGTCGGTGACTTTGATCCAGAAAGGTCAGGGTTAAACTGTGTGAGGTGGAGGGGGCAGAGGCGACCTCCTTCAGGTGGGATTCTGAGGTGGTTGCCGGCCTGGTGATTGCACAGCCCCTGGTCTAGCATCAGCAAAAACTCTGCCACCAGTGAACAGGTGTTACCCCGTGCGACAAGCAGCGTGGAATCCCCGCTACATACGAAGTCCTGGGCTGGGCACTGACCCAGACAGAGTCCTGGAAATGAACAATTGTCTCCTGGAGGAGAGATTTTGTACTACCATCCTCTCCTTGGTTGGATGTCAGAATTGGTTCTGAGACTCAGAACAGCACGAGAAAACTCTAGAAAGGCTCACACGCTAACCCCAGGGGGCCTTCTCACCAAGATCCCCGTGTTCTGCCCTTCACCCAACTCCTGCCTCTGTGTCCTCCGCCTGGTTCTTCCGTCCCCTTCTCGCCCCGCCCCTTTTCTTTCCCATCCACAGACAATTCCACCGGGGAGGTGGGCCGGAGAGGACCAGTGTTAGGTTGGTTAACGTGGGGCTGAAGGACCCACAAATCCCCGTAAAGGGGAAGATGTTGAAGCTTAAAGTCAAAATGACTTCTGAGTTAGTTCGCATTAGAAACTTGGAAGCAAATTCACTGACGTTTCCAACTGGCCATTATTTTATGGCCCTGTGCTCCTTTCTCCAATCCAAATAATTTTAAGATGTATTCCAGGACTCAAGGCTAGGATTGTTTCCATTTAATTTCCTGGTACGAATTAAAAGAATCCATTTAGGAGGCTTAATCTTTGTGAGTGCAGCTCTTTCTATTCATAGCATTTTCACATGGAATCATGCTTGAGGCCACATTACTTTAATGGTTTATATTTTGGCCCCTAGTGTCCTGAGGTATTTTTTCCCCCCCAAAGGACAATTTTACTTTTTGAAAATGAATGAAATCTCTGTCTACTGTTATTTCCATACTGAGTAATTAGACAGCAAGGATGAGGTTTTAATATTGATTTTTCCCCCCAAAGGCTTATTTTGTTTTCTGGGAAAAGAAAGATCTCTACATATTTTCACAATTTATTTAAAAACTAATAGAGTAAGGATATTTATTTTCCAAGGAATCCCACTTGTCTGGGCAGTCATTTTAAAGTCAGGCCTTGGTGCACAGTGAGACCAAAGTTATGCGATGCCATATTTATATCCTAGTTACACCCACAGTGTGCTGGACCCAGTATAAATCAAAAGAGTTTCAACTGCAATTATATCCCAGATACAGGAAAAGCTTTCAATACTGGGGCAAGGGAAGGACCCAGGCTCTCCCAAAACTGAGTTACAACCAGCTCAGAGCAGGCAAGGCTGCTCAGCTTGACACTGGTTCCTCTTGTTCTTGCATGGGCATAACGTGGCAGTGAATTTCTAGAACCCCATACAATTGTCCAGAACCTTCTAAGTGTTGAATCCAAAGGCCATTGTAGATGGCTTTCTGCAGAGGAAAGAATTCTGCTGAATCGTTGACAAATTACTTGTTTAAGTCCACTATGTGCTCATATTACCTTTAAAAGGTAATATGCAAAAACAGTTGTTTTATTTCATGCAGCTTGTTTGTCAGAATATAGTCTGATAGTCATTTCACAGGCTAACACCAGAAGCCAAGGGGTCAAGGAATGGGGCTCTTTCTCCACCAATCCCTTCTCTCTGATATTATGAGCATACGATCTTGTCTTCTGCTTTATGGAAAAGATCACAAATTCCCCTCAAAAATGCCTTTTCTGGGACACCTGGCTGGCTCAGTCAGAAGAGCATGCGACTCTTGATCTCAGGGTTGTGAGTTCAAGCCCCACGCTGGGTGTAGAGATTACTAAAAAATAAATAAACTTAAAAAAAGGGTCTTTCCCCCATCTCCAGATCTGCATGTTTTCACCTCCTCTTTGTTCCTTCACTCACTTCCAACCCATCTGGCCATGGTCCTTGAGCCCATTTCTTCCCACCACCTTCAGGCCTTGCTCCACCATTTCACTTCCTTCCGATTTTCAGCCTCTCCTTGTCCCCTGCCTAGTTCTTGTCCGCCTGCCGGTTTAGAGCATATTTTCCTATATTTTACTTGACTCTCAGTAGGGTTTTCCATGCTTAGATCTTTGTACCACTGCTTACTGAGTAGAGCAGGCTTTCCCACTGGTTGGAAAAGCCACTTTTATCCTATAAAAAAAACCTCTCCACGTGTAGATGGGTCTGGTTCAATTCCATCCTGTTGAGTTACGTTTCTATTTCCACCTTAACCACACAGTTTTAAATGACTATAGTCTAGTGTACATTTTGAAATATTTCTTCTTTAAAAGTTGTTAGCTGTCCTTGCACCTTCTTCTTACCCATAAACTTTATAATCAGCTCACCAAATTTCCTTAATGAAATTCCACTAGAATTCTGTTTAGAATTGTGTTGAATTTACAGATTAGTTAGAGAAGAGTTAAAACCTTTGCAATGAGTATTCCCATCCAAGAGCATGTTTTCTTCATGTAGATTTCATGAATGTTTTGTTAGACTTATTCCTAGCTATTTTATAGGTTTTCTGAGCATTAGTAATAGATGTTTTCTGTAACTGATATACAGGAAATAAAGAAAAATCGTATATTTAACTTGTGCTGGGTTACCTTACACAAGTTTGTTTTTAGTGTTCTTTGATTATCCATTGATTGTCTTGTTTTTAGGTGTGACAGTCATAGCATTTGAAAATAATTCCCCCCCTAAATATTTATACTTTATCTTTTTTTCCCTCCAATTCTTATATATCACATTTCTTTTTATTGATTTATTTGCTAGGTTTTCCAAAACAATGATAAATAATACTAGCAAAAGCAATCATTCTTGTCATGTTCTGAACAGTAAGGGAATTTTTTCCAAGTATGATACCTGCTGTAGTTTCAAGTAGATAATTTATCAAGATTCTACTCCCAGTTTACTAGGATTAGGTTTTTTTTTTAAATTTAAGAAAATGTTTAATCAAGTGGGATTTAGAAATCTATTTATTTCCTAAATCTAATACAGATTAATTAACCCATAATTAATTAATATTAACATATTATTAAACATCCTAATGTTTAACTATAGAATGATTTGGGAAATTTTCCCTTTTCTTTTTATGTTCCAACTTAAAGTCTTTCTAGAACTCATTCATAATCCCACTTGGATTTGGTGCCTTTTGGGGGGTAAATTTTCGATAATCTTTTCTATTTTTCTCTGGGTAGTTTTTTCAGATTTTCTACCTCTTTTTGAGTAGATTTTAATAATTTACGTTTTCCTAGAGACTTGTCCATTTCATCTAGATTCTAAACTGTGTTGGTATAAAGTTGTTCAATCCCATTTGATTAAAAAATTTTCTTCTGTTATCTTTCCTTTCTCGTTCTTAATGCTTTTCAGTCAGACTTTCCACTGGTTTATTTTATAGATATTTTCAAAGAAAATGTTTTATTGATCAAATTCTTTCCAATTCCATTTATATCTCCTTTTGGGGGGTTTATCTTGTGGTTCTTTTTCTATCTTCCTGTTTTAAATATTTAGCTTATTGATTTTGCAATTTCCCTGTAGTAAATGCATTTTAAGCTATAAATTGTCCTCAGAGTACTGTACTAGCTACATTACATTGGTTTTACATGATGTTTTCTCATTTATTATTCACTTGTAGACTATCCCTATTCTCTATTTTTATTTCCTAGTAACCCAAGAGTTATTAGGATGAGTGTTAAAATTCCCAATTAGTTTTTTGTTGTTTTTATTGTTGCTGTATTTTTGTTATTAATTTCCAGTGCTCAAAGAATGTGGGTGGCAAAAATTTTAAGACTTTTTAAGAGTATCTTTAGCTTCACAGGAAAATTGAGAGGAAGATACAGAGATTTCCCGTACACCTCTGCCCACACACATGCACAGCCTCTCCCATTATCAACATCCCCCACCAGAGTGGTACATTTGTTACAACTGATGAACCTACACAGATAAATCATAATTGTCCAAAGCCCAGAGTTTGCATTGGGGTTTACTGTTGGTGCCGTACATTCTATGGTTTGGACAAATGTATAGTGACTTGTGCCCATCCTTATGGCATCATATAGAGAATTTTCACTGCCCTGAAAATCCTTTGTACTCCACCAATTCATCTTTCCCCCCACCCCAGCCTCTGGCAATTGTTGATCTTTTTACTGTTGCTATAGTTCTGCCTTTTCCAGAATGTCACATAGAATCATGCAATATGTAGACTTTTCAGATTGGGCTTCTTCTACTTAGTAATATGTATTTAAGGTTCCTACATGTCTTTTCATGACTTGAAAACTCATTTTTTAGTGATGAGTAATCTTCCATTGTCTAGATGTGCCACAGCTTATTTAGCTATTCACCTACTGAGGGACATCTCGGTTGCTACCAAGTTTTGAAAAGTATGGCTACGGATGCTATAAACATCTGTGTGCAAGTTTTTTGTGTCAACATAAATTTTCACCTCCTTTGGGTAAATACCAAGGAGTCTGATTCCTGGGTCATATGGTAAGAATATGTTTAGTTTTGAAAGAAACTGTCAAACTGTCTTCCAAAGTGGCTGTTTGTATTCCCACCAGCAATGATTGAGAGTTCCTATTGCTCCACATCATTGCCAGTATTTGGTTGTTAGCATTCCAGATTTTGGCGATTCCACTAATGTATAGTGGTATCTCATTTTTGTTTAAATTTGCACTTCCCTGATGACATATGTTGCAGAGCATCTTTTCATAAGCTTATTTCCCATCTGTATATTTTCTTCGGTGAGGTGTCTATCAAGGTCTGTAGCACATTTTAAAATTGGGTTGTTTTCTTATTGTTGCATTTGAAGGGTTCTTTGTATATTTTGGATAACGATCCTTTATCAGCCCTTTGCCAATATTTTCTCTTGGTCTGTGTCTTGTCTTCTCATTTTCTTGGCAGAATGGAAGTTTTAATTTTAATGAAATCTAGCTCATCAATTATGTCTTCCATGGATGGTGTCTTCGGTTTTGTATCTCAAAAGTCATCACCATACCCAAGATTATCTAGGTATTCTACTATGTTATCTTCTAGGAGTTTTACGCTTTTGCATTTTACCTTAGGTCTGTGATCCATTTTGAGTTAATTTTTATGAAGGGTATAAGATATGTGTCTAGATTCATTTTTTGGCTCGTGGATATTCAGTTGTTCTAGCACCATTTGTTGAAAAGACTATCTTTGTTCCATTGTATTGCTTTTGCTCTTTTGTCAAAGATCGAGTGACTATAATTATGTGGGTCTATTTCTGGGTTCTCTATTCCATCCCGCTGATCTATTTGTATAGTCTTTCACCAATACCACACGGCCCTGATTACTGTAGCTTTATAGTAGGTATCAAAGTTGGGTAGTGTCAGTCTTTCAACTTTGTTCTTGTCCTTCAATATTGTGTTGGCTATTCTGAGTCTTTTGTCTCTTCATATAAACTTCAGAATCATTTTGTCAGTATCTACAAAAGAACTGGCTGGAATTTTGACAGGGGTTGCCCTTAATCTATAGATTGGGTTGGGAAGAACTGATATCTTGACAATATTGAGTCTTCTTATCCACAAACATGGAATATCTCTGCATTTATTTAGTTATTTGATTTCATTCATCAGAGTTTTATAGTTTTCCTTATATAGATCTTGTACATATTTTGTTAAATCTATACCTAAATATTTCATTTTTTTGATCTTAATGTGAATGGTATTGTGTCTTTAATTTCAAATTTCACTTGTTGCTAGTATATAGCTAAGTGATTCACTTTTGTAATATTAACCCTGTATCCTGCAACCTCACTATAATTGCTTATTTGTAGCAGTGGTATAATTTTTAATGTTTTGGAATTTGGTGAGATTTTTCTTTGTGGATTAATATGAGGTAAATTTTTGTAAATGTAATGGCTTTGGGGAAATTGGATTATTTTTGGGTAAAATATTTATATGTATGTATACATTTACACATATACATTTGTTTAAACATGTATACATATATGTACATATGCCTATAGATCAAGCTTGTTAATCAAATGATTCCTCAGATATTTCATGTCCTTCATCTTTTCAATTGATATAAATCATTATTTCCATAGAATCACAGCTCTTAGAACTGTAAGGGACCTCAAAATAATTAGATCCAGATGAGCAGAGTATTGTTATGCCCATGTTATAGTTGACACACTGGAGGTACAGTAAGATGAGGTGATTTTCCCAAGGAAGCACAGCTAATGAATAACAAAATGAGGATTAGAGCCCAGGCCTTTGGAGTGAGACTATAAACAGGATGCATGTCAGGGCGGGTGTCCATTATCCTTCCTGTCTGAAGCCAAACCACATTAATAATATAGATCAATGCTATATTCATGAACTGTTGTTACTAATTAGAATGTTGACTGCATATCCAGTAAGATGCTTGTTTATGTCTATTAGAGAAGTGGAAGGTGAAATCTTCAAGTTGGAGATGCTACTTGAAGATGTTAAAGAGAAAATTAATAAGGGCAAATGTACTTCAGCCGTCTCTCTTCCTGTGAGTTCTCCAATCATCTCGGATGACTTGGCATCCATATCCTCTCCACCCTCAAATGAGGTAATACGGCAACCTACAGCCTAATTTCATGCCAGGAAAAATGTTTTTTATGCATTTATAGAATCCTAATTCATGAAATCATGAATTCTATTTTAATATTTCATGCAAATTTAACTTTCCAAAGTCCCATGAATCATATTATTTAAAATGGAATGAGCTTTTAAAAATTAGAAGCTATTTTAATGTTGGTTTTTGAAAGATCTTATTAGTTTAAGATGTAACAATGCAGTTTAAAGTGATGAACCACTGAAAAGCTATTTCTTCTGGATGAAGGGCAACATTTTTGTGGATTGTGCCTGGAAGAAATAATTTCTCTGAATAGTTTTATATTCCCTCTTCTACATAAAGAATAACACAATCAGTGGGAAGAACTATTTCCCATGGGTCCACTTCTGCATTTTCCTCCTCTCAAGTTAAATTCTTTTGGATTGTCTACATAGGCAAGATTAGGAATTCAAATCAATCACCACTGTCTTTCTACACTTTTTGTTTTTGTAGTTTCAACTATCAGAACATTTCAGACTAAATTAAAATTCTGAGAAACTGAATCATCTGGATAATTGCCTTAAAGTGACTCTTTTGTTTCAGACCGTACTTGAAGTCACGGCCTGTGGCTGACACTCAAAATCTGACTAGGTTTTTGTCACAATTAAACACAAGATGTTGAAGGTTATATAAATGCTAGCCCTGCCAAAAAAGTGTGTTTGCTCCTTCAAAACACTTAACCTTTCCAGCAAAATTTCATTCATGGCCCAGCTTCCAAGTTAGGCCATTTATATAACTTTGACACACAGTCCCCCACCCCAGGCAGAATTCTTTGCTCAGACCTCTGTGTCCCCACAGGACTGTGTCTCACTTGTCCCTGTGCCTTTGTACCTATCTTTGTATCCCAGACATCTGACTGAGCTCCTGATACAGCGTGAATATTCAATGTAGTAACCTCTGAGCCCTTGTGAATGTAACAGTTTCAGTGCTTCCCAAGCTGTGAACCAGAATTAGCTTCCTGGTGGTGTGAGGGAGCCCAGGGAGTGAGCCTAGCCTTCCACCCAGCAGCTCCCTCAGATCAGGGTTTGCTTTTCTTTACTGGGTCCCAAGTTTACCAGCAACTATTGCGAAATAATAAGACCTCTAGAATTTTGTGATAAGTGGCCCTGAAAAGAGAGTCTACTGCTAGGATCATTCATTCATTCAACAAATATTGCCAAATGCTAGGCACTTTTCTATGTATTGGAGTATAACATGAACAAAGCAGACAAATCACCTGCCCTCAAGATGCTTACATATCTCTAAGGGATACATACAATGAACAAATAAAATTAATGTATAATGACAGAATGTTAAAGGTGCAATGCTCTTAAAATAATACATTCCTGTGACTCTGGGGCTGAACTGCCTGGGTCTGAGCACTGGCTCTGTTGCTCAGCAGCTTTGTGACCTTGGGCAAGTTACGTAACCTCGCTGCGCCTCAGTTTACTCTGTAAAATAAATAATAATATCTGCCTAAGCTTCCAACTCCTCTACTGTTAAAAATCTTTGCAAACTGTAAAGCCCTGAGCCAACAGAATTATTATTGTTTACTTCTCATTATAATTTTGCCATTATCATTTTAGACCTGCGGATTTTTAATCCCAGCACTTACAATTAATTTGTAATGAAATAATCTCAAGTGTGGTCCCCAGACCAAGAGCATTGACATCACCTGGCAGCTTGTTAGAAACTGTTATGAGGTTGTTATGGTGTTAAGTGAGTTAATATGGGTAAAGTGCTTGAAATGGGGCCTGGCTCATAGTTAAGCACACTAGCTGGGTGTTAGCTTTTGTGATTATTCAGTAATGGCATATGACCAAAAGTCACTCACTGTGGGAGGGCCGAGTCACTCAGGAGACATGGTCAGGGAAGGTAAGATTTGAACTGAGTTGGAGGGAGGGGTAAGAAGGAGGAAGGTAGGTGGAGAGTTGGGGAAATAGAGCTACCCTATGACCCAGCAATTGCACTACTGGGCATTTACCCCCAAAACACAGATGTAGTGAAAAGAAGGGCCATATGCACCCCAATGTTCATAGCAGTAACGTCCACAATAGCCAAACTGTGGAAAGAACTGAGATGCCCTTCAACAGATGAATGGATCAAGAAGATGTGGTCCATATACACAATGGAATATTACTCCGCCATCAGAAAGGATGAATACCAACTTTTACATCAACATGGTTGGGACTGGAGGAGATTATGCTAAGTGAAATACGTCAAGCAGAGAAAGTCAATTATCATATGGTTTCACTTTTTTGTGGAACATAAGGAATAGCTTGGAGGACATTAGGAGAAGGAAGGGAAAAATGAAGGGGGGGAAATCGGAGGGAGAGATGATCCATGAGAGACGATGGACTCTGAGAAAGAATCTGAGGGTTTTAGAGGGGAGGCGGGTGGGGGAATGGGCTAGCCTGGTGATGGGTATTAAGGAGGGCACGTACGCATGGAGCTCTGGGTCTTATATGAAAACAATGAATCATGGATCACTACATCAAAAACTAATGATGTACTGTATGGTGACTAACATAACATAATAAAATAAAATTTAAAAGAAAAAAAAAAGGAACTCCAGGCAGGATCTGATGGTGCCTTAGGGGTGCGGTGGGGATGATGAACTGATTTGAGTCTCCCCGTGTAACTGCAGTTCTAAAGGCAGTCCCTCTGTGCTGCTCCGTGGATTCCTACGGAACACCAGGACATCCTTTGGGGCAGTGACAGGCCCCTTCCTCCACAGCTATCGCTCCTGAGGGAGGGCCTGACAACTTCTGAGAAGAGAAAGGGAGAGTGGCCACAAGATGTCCCCACCCCACTCTACCGCAGGTTGCTCCTTTCCATCGTGCCAGGAAGGCTGCAGTCAAATTCCCGATGACCCTTAGCCAAAGAATCCCCCAAAGTGGGGCTCCCACAGAGCTCAAGAACTGATTCTAAACTCAAACTGCCTAAAAGAACAAAAAAAAAAACAACAACAAACAAAATACCAAAACCCAAAAAACAACAATAACACAGACTAACCAGATCAAATGGCCATGAGGTTGTCCTCTGATCCCAGGGTCATGTCCAGCAGCCCATCCCTGCTCGGTTCAGTTCATTCTGTTGGATCTCTGACCATAACCAGTGTTGCTGAGTGTGGCTCTGAACCTGGCATCATCGTGATCACCTGGCTCTGAGATTAACTAACACCTTGGATGTCAGTGCTGTCGACAGCTGCTGGTGTTGCTAATGTTTCCCACTCTCAGCGCTCGGGAGACACTTGCCTGGGGTACCTGTTCTAGATCAGGGCTTCTCCAGCCACAGTGCACCTAGGAATCCTGTGCAAATCTTTCTGCACACAGGCTTCGATTCGGTGGGTCTGAAGTAAGCCTGCAGTTCTGCATTTCTAACAAGCTCCCAGGTGATGCCAGTGCTGTTGGTCTGGGGACCACACCTTGAGATTATTTCATTACGAACGAGCTGGAAGTACTGCGATTAAAAACCCCTGGTCTAAGGGGGGGAGTGGGAGAGATGGGGTGGCTGGGTGGTGGACATGGGGGAGGGTGTGTGCTGTGAATTGTGTGGGACTGACGAGTCACAGACCTGTACCCCTGAAACAAATAATACATTATATGTTCATTAAACAAATGAAAAAAAAAAACCCTTGGTCTAAAAGGATAGTGACAAAATTATAATGTTGGTTCAGAGCTCACAGTTTGCAAAGACTTGGCAGAAGAACAGTTGCAAGCTTAGGAAGGTGAGGACAAACATCAGGGGATACTGGATCCCAGGCCTCCCAGTTCAGGTGGAGGGCACCTGCCTACATTCTGCTCATGTAAATCTGCTTTATATGTGAAATGCAGGGTACCCCTGTACCCCTAAAAGTGAGAAGTGATCAAAGAAAATACAGGGGCAAAGCCTTTTTTAAATTATAAAAACAATTTATGCTTACCGCAAAACAAATAAGATAGAAAAAAGTATAAAGAACGTTTCACAGAAAAATCATAGCTAATGTGTTAGTGTGAATCTGTCCAGTCTTTTTTCTTCTCCGCAGACACATACACATTTTTGCAAAACTGGGATCATGCTATATATATTGTTTTATGATGCTTTTTCTCTTTTAACATTCTATCGTGGGCATTTCAACAATCATGTAGAATAAACCTATGGCTTCATTTTTAAGGACTGCATTGTATTTCCTTATACCAATTCATTTAACCAATCCCTTGTTGATGGACATTTGGTTTGTTCCGGTTCTTTGATATTACAAACACTGCTTTGGTAATCATTTCATATGCAAGCTTTGGGCCATACTCGATTATTTCCTTAGACTAAAAACCTAGCAGTGCCGTTAACGGTTCAAAAGGCACAGAATGAAAATTCTGATAAACTGGCCCTTAGCAAGGTGGTGTCATGCCCCAGCTGTGCATCAGAAAGGAGCTGTGTCCCTACCCTACCCCCAAGCCCACTCTGGGGATTTTTTTTTTTCTTTCCAAGCTTTGCCAAAGTGATAAGTGAAACTGGTATCTCATTGTTTTCATCTGTATTTCTTGGACTGTTTGTGAAATTTAACTCATTTTCATATGTTCCTCGGCCATTGCCACCTCCTCTTTGACAACATCAACATTTTAACTAATATTTGCAAAACCGAAACTGAAGCCACTTTTTTTTTAAAGGCAGACAAGTTGGAAAATACTAAGAACAAATAACGTTCCACATTGAGATTTGTATTATACAAAGGGCTCTGACAGGTGCACAAAGGAGCAGGAAAATTGTGGTTAAGAACACAAGCAGAAGGGGAAAGTTTCAAATCCCAGTTCTGCCACTTACTCTCTGTGACCTTGCCAAGTTGCTGAAATTCTCTGAGCCTCAGGATGCCAGGAGGGCGAGAAGGAACCAAGCAGGTTGTATGAGGAGGACCTGGCACAATGAGCAGGCCACAAACGGTTGTTTTTGTTAGTAAGGAAACACCGAAAATCTCCAAAAAAGTAACGGACAAAGGAGATGAACTAAAAGTCACAAGTAGGAAACACAGCCAATAAATAAGCACATGGAGAAATGTTTATCTCCTTTAATAACAGAGGCAACTAATACAAGGTGCCACTGCCCCGCTTTTTAAATGAACAAAAATATTTCCAAGGATAATACCTGATGCAGAGGAAGGTGGGGTCAAACTGAGCTGCCCACATTGTTGGTGGCTGTGTCATCCTTACAACGTCTGTGGAAAGCAATTTGGCAACAGGTATCATCGCGCAAACATGTTCACGACCTTTGACCTAGACATTTCCTAAGGAAGTAATTCAAAATATGGAAAAACCTATCTGTACAAGGATGCTTGTGCCAGCATTGTTTATAATGGGGAGAAGAGCACGTGTTCTGTTTACAGAAAGGGTAAAAACCGTAGTAAAAAATACACTCTGGGTGGTGTCAGGCGTTTCCGTGAAGTCGTGTAATTTTTCTGTGTTAAAAAGGGACATATAAACAGTAATTTCAGCCTCTAAATAGTCCTAAAGCCTGTTTTAATTCATAGTTGAATGCATTTCTTTGGAAAAGCTTGCAGAGCTCTACGAAGAGTGGTCAGATTGATGGATTTAAAAATTATCTTCCTAAATCTGTTCATCCTCCGGTGGAGCCTGGGGAAATTTGAAACTAAGGAAAGAAAAAAGGGGGAAAGTATTCTCTCATCTGTAAACTAGATGTTTAAATGTTTGGAGGAGGAGAGAGGCCAAGCCAGTATTGAAACCTTCTCTCTTTAAGCCCCAAGCCATTATAGCACAGACCCCACCGAGCAAGAAATCAGAGCAAAGGAGTCCCGGAGAGGTGAGTTCAGCTGCCTCTGTGCGTGAGCGGCGGCGGGATGAGTCACTTCCTCACTCACAGCGACATCTGTGTGTGCTTTGTGGTGCAGGAGAACCCCATCAACACCCCGGGAAGGCAGGACCACGCAGAGACGACCAGTCCAAGCTGTGACTTTTGCCATGGGGTCCTTGAACGGTGAGGGCTTCTTGCTGCTAAACCCCAGGGCAGGTGGGAATCGGTGCGGGGATAATAGCTCCGGTGAGAGTGGGTGAACAGGTGCCAGAAGCCACTGGCCAAGTTACAGATCGCAGATCGCAGGCTGGGCATGCCCCGCCTCCCTCCCGATTCACAAATCCCTCTCACGGTGGCTCTTGAGTGGGGTGAGCATCAGAGTCATCGGGAAGATTGTTAAATAATGCACATGCCTCACCCTCACCTACTGTGTCAGCCTCACTGGGGCTGGAGCCCTGGTAGGAATACTTCTTTTAAATCAGCTCAAGTGATTCTCAGAAGTTCCCTTGGTTAAGAATCATGGCTACAGCCCACGAAGGGTGGTTTGTCCTGTAGGCTCTGTCAGAACATTACCCAGACGGGAGATGATTGTGCACCATTCATAGAGCAGCTTCTTGTGATGAGTGAAAATCTGCCCCTTCCCTCCCTCTGTCCCCAGTCCCACTGGAAATAAACCCAATCCCACCTCTTGGGGTTCACTTCTCCCCATTCTTGGTCAAGAAATCTTCCAGAGGTTAAGAAGCTGTCAACTGTGCCAAAGAAGCATCGATGTAAAATCCTAAGGAGATATCCTTAATGTTCTTGAAATTTTCTTTGGATCAACTGTTAGCCCATGTGGATTCAGAATCACTTATTTGAAGCTTCTATTAGTGAGAGGCGCTACCTCCATGCTCAGGAGGCACCGTGGATGCAGGCCAAAGCTGGGCTAATTTACCTTGGAAAGGTCAAGAGTCAAGGAGGGAGGAGCTGTGTAGCAACCATTATTACGTGTCCATAATGGGCTCTAATAGAAGCAGGTGACAAAGATGAACCATGAGAGACGATGGACTCTGAGAAACAAACTGAGGGTTCTAGAGGGGAGGGGCGTGGGGGGATGGGTTAGCCTGGTGATGGGTATTAAAGAGGGCACGTTCTGCATGGAGCACTGGGTGTTATACGCAAACAATGAATCATGGAACACTACATCACAAACTAATGATGTAATGTATGGTGATTAACATAACAATAAAAAATTTAAAGAAAAAAAAAGAAGCAGGTGACAAGATCTGAAGCTCCAAAGGATTCCATCACGGGAATGGGCGCTTGCCCTAAGTGTTCTAGTGAGTGTCCGCCCCCTAAAAAGTGCATGATGTTTGTGCTAAAAATGACCATGCGTCATCTGGTGTGGACCATTACTTTAAACCAACATGCCAGTCATTGGCTTTGACTCTCCTTTAAATATAAGGGGCAGTAATGATGCCTACTCCCTGAGTCACCCCAGGCCCACTATTTTTATTTATTGAATGAAACCTCGGTTTTGGAATTTTTTTAATTGTATTAAGTATAATAAAAATAGCTTGACATTTAAAAAACATTTTGATTAAGCATTCGAGGTATTAAATGCTTCTCTTCCAAATCCCTAGTCTAGACCCTACAGAGACTCTTAAGTATCAAGTCAGGGACTGATGTTCCAGACTAAATTTTCTCTTTTATGACGGACAAGAGGGAAGGAAAAGCACAGCCAAGTGTGAAATCAGATCTAACAATGAATGTACCCCTGGGGTGTGAAGTAGAGATACACATGATTTAGAAATTGAAATCTTGGTAAACTACATAATACCTGAGGGATTAATTGAACAAAGGGCTACATATACTCTTTACTCTTCTAGAAGATTAGATATCTCTCAGATGGGACATGTGCTTTATGAAGTTTGCTGATGTTTGAGGGATATTTATATATATGCAGATAAATGATATATATGCTACAGATAAAATGCATATTCCTTTGTGCTACGTCTGGTGCAGGATTTTGTACGCTCTAGCTACTTTGTCTTCTTGGAAAACTGTCTTCTCAAGTAGAATTGCCCTTAGCTTTTATGTCTGGCAAGAAGATTTTAGTGCACAAAGAAGTTTAAAAGAGGCAGAAAAAGAAAGTCATGTGTGGGACTGAACTCCCTTGAAAGAGATCCAAGTTTTCCACTTTGGAGAGCAGATGTTCAAATGCCCCAAAGGCGGAAGGAGGAGACAGAAAATGAGGTGTGAGAAAATATGTGAGTCAGGAGGAAAGCATGTTTTTCCAAGCGGGGATGGGGGGGGTGGGGGTGGGGAGGGCCCAGCTTCTCAGCCCCCAGCCCCACCAACTCCAAGCACAGCGCCTGTCTCCACGGCAGCCAGCAGGCCTGGGCAGGGTTGGGGGGGTGCTGCATTCAGCAAGCAATGTCTGGAGCTCGTCCCCGCTTCCCCCAC